CCTTATAACAGGGGGTATGCTGCCCCTTCTAGACAGCATAGACTAACAGCATAAAACTTCAATGGCAGGAATGGACTCCCTCTATAGAAACTGTTGAGCAGGGGTCCCATAGACCCTCAAACAGAGGGGCCACTGCCCCTTCTCTTGTTTACCCACCAGAACTGGATGGTAAGACCCTATTGCTGAAGATACTACATTCGTGAACTGTAGAACAGTATGCTGCCCCTTCTAGACAGCATAGACTAACAGCATAAAACTTCAATGGCAGGAATGGACTCCCTCTATAGAAACTGTTGAGCAGGGGTCCCATAGACCCTCAAACAGAGGGGCCACTGCCCCTTCTCTTGTTTACCCACCAGAACTGGATGGTAAGACCCTATTGCTGAAGATACTACATTCGTGAACTGTAGAACAAACAAGGAGAAATCAACCTGTGCTGACGTCAGAGCTTCATCTCTATTGGCTAGTTTTTATAGTGCTGGAAGGTGCTATGCATGCTACAAGAAGGAAAAAAATAATTGTCAACCTTACCCAGCTATGAATCCTGTGAATTACAACAACAATTGGCCTGGCAAGATATGCCCACAGGTGCAATAGTGGCATGAATACTATGGGAGTAAACAACCACTCTCTAATTGGATTTAAGGTCTACTTCATAGGATGGAGCCCTTACCCGACATTGATATCAGTCTTAGAAACCTGAGGCTAGGCAGATCACAGGACATAGGGGAGTGCCTAATACTAGTTTTCTGCTAAATAATTACAGTATTAAACTGACTCTTAAAGACCCATAAACTGATGCATCTCTCAACTCTCACCAGAGAAGCTTCTTATGCACCAGATGATGATTAATACAGAAACCCACAATGTGACCACTCTGTAGACAACAAGAGGCTGCAGAGTGCTTATCCCTGAATAGAACACCTATATCAAACTTCTGCTTTCCAAGGCTCAAGGATCATTGGGAAAAGAGGGCAGATAGATTGTAATAGCCAGAAGTAGTGAATGATCACAAGGAAAAGAGTTTTCCAGACAGCTGCTCAATTACTCGCATGAACTCACAGCAATGGTGACAGCATGCATAAGTCCCATGCAATCTCAAACCACACAAAATGACAGCATAGACATGGGGTAGTGGATAAGAAACCACAATCCAACCTAAAAAACTTTCAGCAACCTATGGCTGCTGAAAGAGGGAGGGACAATCTCTTTCAAGAATGGGCTCCTGGTAGGTTAACCAGGTTCCAAAGGATGGACCCACACTGAAAGACATTTGGGAATGCAAATTAGACTGCATAGGCCATAATGTATATAAAACAGAGCACATTAAATTGGGCAGTGGGAGGTAAGGGGGCATGTGAATAGAGGAAGGGAATCTAAACACCATCAAATTATATTGCATGAAAATAGCAAAAATTCAATAAAAAAAACAATAGGCACTGCATGACACTCCTGTAGTCCCAATACCTCCAGGAGATTGAGGCAGGAGGATTCTGAGATTTAGGTCATCCTGGGCTGTATAGCAAGGGGCTGGGGGGAAGGTTCATCAGTTAAGAGCACTGAGCGCTCTTTCAGAGGACCCAGGTTTGAGTCCCAGCACCCACATGGCAACTAACAACTGTATTTAACTCCAGTTCCAGGGGATCAGATACCCTCTTCTGACTTCCACGGGCATTGTACAACATGGATGCGTTTACATATATGCAGGCACAACACTCATATATACATAAAGTAACAAGTAAAAATAATAAAGAAAAAATATAAATACCAAAATTCATTTAATTTTTAACTGCAGATTTCAAGAGATTGGAGTTTTCTTAAGGACTAACTATCCAAGTGGGAACACACACACACAGATCACCTAAGCCAGTGTATGTGTTACTAGTTACTATTTAAAACTAAAACTAAAACTAAAAACTAAAACTTAAAACTAAAACTAAAAAACTAAAACTAAAAATTCCACTGATCAGTTATTTAAAACTGCCCTTCACACTTTTAAAAAACATTTTGATGCATTAACATCTAGCAGATGGAATAAAATGTTAAACTACTTGTGAATACACAATTTGGTTCAGATATCAATAATAAATTTATCATCACAGAAAAGTAATACTGACATCCTATGGATATCAAATAAATACAAATAACTTTCTACATAACAGAGACAAAGGCCACATTTGTGCTAAAGCTCGGTAGATTTTATTTTTGTGAAAATCAAAATGGACAGATACTGAAGATAATTGTGAAGACACGGAAGATAATTATAAAAACCTGCCATGATCATTCTCATCTAGAGAGTAAAGAATCAAAGGACATTATATTTGAATATGAAAATACTGTAGTGTGTTAGCTTAAACATGTAGAGATATCCTCATACGATAAGACAGAAGGAGGAATGAAGAAATATCATTCTATTTGCACACAGCCCTTTGGTAACATTACTGATGGCAGATAACTGATTTTTTTAAATGGAAATTTCTACTTACCGTAGCTTCATTGCACACTGTGCACTTAACCACATGCTGGTGAAGTTTTCCATCCAAGTTGATTAGAGACTGGCACACGCGGCAGTTGATCACTGGAACACTACTGGCATCTGGGCTGGCGATGGCTGTATACGGAGGTGGGAGTTCTGCTGGAAGTATTTAAACTGAGTCAGTCTCTGAGAAATTGCTGAGAGTAGTTTGAGTATAGAAACATTTGACATAATGTAAAAACTAATTAAACATTTCCTCCACATTTAAAAATTTTAAAGCTACCTGACATCCTAGTTTCAGAGAAAAAATGGGGCTATTGTTATCAACAGAATAATTTCTAATTCTGATAAAATCCAAATCTCATTGTTTAGTTCTCCCAAGGTGAGGAATTTCCTTTACTCAAAATGTCCACTCCTTTCCTTTGTGGGTATTTGTATAGACGGAAGTAGGAGAGTGTTGGTTTTGCCTAAACTCTTACACTAGTGCCCCTGCAATCCCATCACTTGGGAATCTGAGGCAGGATGATTAATTTCAAGTTCAAGGTCAACCTGCAATGCATGGGTGAAAGGACAAAAGTTCAAATCCCCACACTTTTACAATCAGGCCATGCTTGCTTGGAGCCTGTCCACAGTGACTTATGATGCCTTATTTAACCATTTAGAGCTTGACAGTCACACCTTACCTAAATGATTTGAGTAAATGACCAGTCTCAGAAAGAGAATTTCTACTGTAAACTTTAATACTAAAGATAGTGAGAAGCCCACCAATTATACATATATGGGCCTTGTGAAATGACTCGCTAAATAAGACCAAGTAATTTTCCCCTTAACTGCTATAAAAAGAACACCCACTCCCTTAAGAGGCAAGAACCCCTACACTATCTCCTCTCAAGAGCTCACCCTTCCTTCTATTATCTCAATAAATTCTGTCTGGTTATTTTATGCCTTTGATAAATTCTTTTTTACTTATCTAAGTCACCAAACTTGTAGGCATTGTTTCACATGACGATAGGGAGACTGTCTCAAAGAATAATAAATAAATAAATAAATAAATAAATAAATAAATAAATAAATCTCTCACTACTAAAAACTAAAAATGGCCAACAA